AGAGAGAGAGAGAGAGAGAGAGAGAGAGAGAGAGAGAGAGAGAGAGAGAGAGAGAGAGAGAGAGAGGGAGGAGAGAAGAGAAGAGAAAGGGAAGGAAGAAGAGAAAACAGGAGAAAATAAAGTGACACGTCAATGTCTCCCGAACGCGAGATGGCACACTAAAGTGATGCTATATTGAAAACAAACATAAAGCTTCAGCCCGCCAAGCCCAACTCTCAAATAGACGTCGTGTCCATATCTTTATAATCATAGTCGAGCTTCCAGCAGCGACTCCACATGTTTCATCCAGAGCCGGTTCCGGAATCGTCAGGGGTTTAAGTCACGCGGTTGAGTGACGATTGACATGTCAAACTTCGCTATATATGACCTAGATAGACACTCAAAAACTACAAAAGGGACGGCGCAGAAAAATCGGCACTCCATCGACAGAGCAGATAAACAAGGTTCCAAGATCGAACCTCCATAGGACCAAAGAAAAAAGAAAGGAGCTTTAATTGAAAAGTGAGTGGATTAAGACTACAGCCTGGACCCCCAGCCATTCGATGACAGAATATATAGCACCAAGTAGAAGTTACCGAGTTCGAAGACCAAGTAGAAGCTACCGAGTCGAACACCTCCATACGACCAAAGAAAAAGGCCTTCAAGTGAAAGGTCAGTGGAGCAAGACCATAATCGGGACCCCCAGCTATTAGATGATAGAACAGGTAGCACCAAGTTAAAAAAGTACCGAGTTTGAACACCAGTAAGAAACCACGTGGCCCACGAATGTCCCCTTAAAAAGACGATTGTCCAATCTGACTATGCGGGCACGTGTTGGCCAACGGAAAAAGTTCCCCAACTTCCGCGATTTTTCATTTGGCGCCATTTCGTTGCATTCTTCATTTTTGCCATTCTGGCATGTGTTGGCCAACGGGAAAAGTACCCCAACTTCCGCAACTTTTTACGCTCAGAAGGATGATTCCACAACTCTGCAAATTGAAGAGCCTGTAGATTTGGTCGTGATCTTTCCACTAAAAATATTTAATTTATTTTTAAAAATATTGAAGATCATGAAATAAATGCCACGCCAAATTGTCTCATTTCCCATTCTTGCCACTTTACCACGTGTGGCCCAACAGGAAAACTACCCCAACTTCAGCGAATTTTCGCGCTGAAAGGAAAACGTCCAGAAATCTGAAAATGGGAGGGTATGTAGATTTCGTTGTGATCTCTCCAAGAAAAATATCTAAGAAATTAGAAAAAATCATTTCAACTGCAAAAAAAATCACGGCGGCAATTCGATGAAAGTACATTTTTGCGGCTTGCCAGCTCTCCCCACCGTGCTACCGGTAGCCCTCATGAACATGTGCTACCGGTGTCGGTGCAAATACCCTTACGAGGGTATCCGCAAGTGGCAGAAAATAGTTTTGGTTTAAAGTTTAAGTATACCGCGCTAGGCGCGGTTGTGTCTGTGATTACGTTGACCGGGTGGTTGACTACAATAGAGAGTGCGTGGGCGCGCAGGCTTTAGGCGCGCGTGATTCTTTTCTGTTTGCTGATCATAAAGCCGGCGCGGACATCTGTCGTTTTGTTTGATGATATTATTAATATTTATTTATTTTTGATTAAGCAGGAATTAGGGATGTTTTCTTTTGATTGGTACGTTTGACCGATGCGAGCGCGCGTGCGAAGACGACGGCATCGACAACGACGGTGCGATCTTGTGCGGTAAATGGGGCGGCGTGGGATGGTGTGCGGGGGCAGCTACGACACGGTTTGGGTAGGCCGGCGCGACTACTTGGAGGCCGTGGGTTTGGGTGCAGGCGGGAACGATGCCCAGGCCGTTTTTTTCGGGCCTAGGCACTGCGCTGCATCACCTGATATTGGGTTTCTCGTAGTCTAACTCCAGACTTGGGTTACGGCTTTGGGTTGACGTTATGGAGGTTCGGGGATCGAGGTCGGTGGGCATCGGCGCAGCAGTTACAGCGGAGCGACGTGGAGAAGATCGAGGGGTCGAGGGCCCGACGGGGCTATCCCCCTTCGTTTTTGTTTACAGGTGCGGTGGAGGGGGCCGATCCGTAGGGCTCCCCGTTAATTTCCCCGTGTTATTTTTATTATTTTTACCTTTTTCTTCTTCTGTCTATTTTTGTTTTACTCGCGCCCCGTTCTGGGGCGCGATATCGGGCCTGATGTAGGGTCATATAGAGTGTGTTGTATTCGCGGGGTTGCCTGAGGTGCCATTATAGATCGTTTTCGTGACTGCGTCAAAGTTACCCCTCGCAAATATTTACGGGGAGCACCCGCAGCGGTTACGACCGTGCTCAAGCCTCTAACAAGGGAACATGCAGGAGCTGCACCCACCAACAGGTGCGATACCGGCTGCAACAGGCGGGTGGTACCGGCCAAGCGGTCAGCTGGTAGCATTATGACCGAGCTTCTTCGATGGGCCAATCACTGTGCCTTTCCTCCGGTCCCCTCCCCTATGAGCGTCAGTAGTCTTTGTTCGGTGCTATCCTGAGTGGGCGGGCGCCGAACCTGCCCACGGAGGGCTGCTCGAACCGTATGGTAGCTGGTCCCCTCCGAGGCGTCCCTCCAGACAGCTGAAGCTGATGTACAACCTACAGACCGTCTACTGTCGAAAGTAGTAGAGGAGCACTGCGGGCAAAGGAGGCAAAGGCGGCAGGTGACCGGCGGTGAGGACCACTAACGGGTAGCGGAGGAAAATGAACGTGCAGCGGTAGTGGGTGAAAAGGCAGCGCAACTACGGGCGCTAGCGAGCAGCAGGAAGCGACGGGCAGCTACCGAGGTAGAGGGAGTGAATGAATGAACCCGGGCGGGATCAACGTCGGCGTGCATTCACAGAAAAAAGAGTGGCCGAGCGGAGCAAGAGGTGGGTATGGCAGAAAGAGGAGAATGGCTAGCCCACTCGTTTCTTGATGGTTTTGGGTGGGACAAAGTGTGATTCTGAGGTCCTGGGACTGGGCGACCTCGATGGTAGAGTCAGATTTAGCAAAGAGTTAGTGAGGGAGGAGGTAGAGAGAGAATGAGCCGCGCGGAGAGTGGGCGAAGTCGGCTATGGCTAAAGTTTGAAAGACGATTTCTCACTCGATTCCCAACGGAATCGGGCGAACCAAAATGATAAACGGGGCTTTTTGGATACTGCGAGCACGATAGCGGAGTCAGAATGGTGGAAAAATTAGTAGAATTAGAGTTAGTAGAGAAAAACATTGCGCGGGGGATGGTGGAACAAATAAGGAAGAAAGGTGAGAAATGCCCATCTCTCTCAGTTCTCCGCGAAAAAGGGCGAGGGAGAGTACTAAATAGAGGTTTTTTGTAGTTGCGAGTGACACCATAAGGTTAGTTTTGGGTGTTAGTGGATAGATTTGAAGGTATGTAAGAAATAGGCTGCGTGGAGATGGCGGACGGAGAAGGGAAGAGTGAGACTGGGAAGGGTCAGATTTCACTAGCTCCTCGATAGAAACGGACGACTCAAGGCTGGATTTGGGGGTTTCAGGCCCAGGCGAGGTCGTTAGTGAGGTTAGTTTTGAAGGAAAGTTAGTAAGATAGGAGGTACTGAAGGAAACTGCTACGCGAGGGTATCGCGGAGAATGCCGGAGGAGAAGGAGATATGTCGAAAGGGAGTTTCGATATCTTGCCCGATCCTTCAAGGAATCGGGCGAA